CCGGCCCGCGGCTCTGATGGCCGCCCAGCCTCGGGGCCGTCCGTCTGCTGGGGGTCGCGGCGGCCTCGCCGAGGCATGGACAGCAGCCGGGTCCCGCCCACGGCCGGCCGATCAGCAGGCAGCGCGGTGCGCCATGGTCCCCAGGCAGACAGCAGGAGGGGCGAGGACGAGCTGCTCCGATCCTTCCGGGACTAGGGCGCCTCCCGAGCCATCCAGAGCCTGCGGAAAAAACAGAGACGTCCAGGGCTTCTGTCCAGGGCCACCGACCTGCACCTGGCACTGCGCAGGGTGGGACAGACACAGTAGTGGCCAGTGGAGGCCCTGGCTTCCTGGAGTCCGCCGTGTAGTAGCCCAGCCCCATCCTAGCCTGAGACCCTTCCTTTGTCCCTGATGGCCCACCCTGCTGTCCCACCCTCTGCCACCCCTCTGCGCCCCTTCTTCACTGCCCCCCCCCAGCTTCTTCTCACTGTTGGCAGCCCCAGGCCCAGGGGGCAGGGACCTCAGGCTGCTCCTCCTGCCTCTGGCCGACGTCTCTCTGCGCAGCCCGGAAACCCCCCAGCCCCCTGCAACTTTCACAGGGGTCTTCAAGACCCGGCCTCCTGGGGCTGGGTGCCGCTCCCAGCCTGCCGCCCACCTCCTGCCCCCCCACTGCAGCACGAGAAGCCACTTCAGCCACATCAGGGACCACCTCCTCTGTCCCCTGGATGGATGGAGCACTGGGTCCCGTTTGGAGGTGTCCTGGGTGACTTTGGGCAGGTCATAACCCCTCTGCGCCGGCCTGAAGTGTGTCCACTTTCCCCCAGGAATCTTTTCCCTGAGTCTGGACCCCTCTCCTCCCCCACCCCCGGCCAGCACTGTCCACAGATCAATCCCTCGCTCCCTCCTCCCTCCATCAGATCCCCGCTTTCAGCAAGAAAGGATCTGAGGGACGCACGCCTACTCAAGCCCTAATGATGAATAATGGCTTAATGTGGGTGTTTACAGGGGACGGCCATGCTGCTCTAATGGAGGAATTTCAGGCACAGACCAGAGCCAGGGAGGCGAGGGGCTCAGTCCCCTCTCCTGCTCCCCCACCTCCGGATCCGCCCAGCCCAGCGGCTCAGCTCCCCCGCCTCAGCCCTGGCCAGGCTGGACTGGATGCTGGCAGCCAAGGCAGACAGACTGCGGTTTGGTGGGGTGGGAGGTGAGACCCTGCAGCCACAACCCGAATACCAGGTGGCCTGGGGCCGGCCGTGGAAGTGTGTGTATGCGGGCCACCTGGGCCTGTGGCACTGTAGGAGGCAGGTGGGGAGGTGGGCGGCTTCCTGGTGGCAGGGTCTTCTGAGCAGGGGGGAACAGGGTGGCATCCTGGTGGCAGGGCGCACACACCAGTGGTCTGGCTCGCGGGAGTGAGGCTGGAACCTGAGGTGGGTGGCTGGGCAGAGGGACCAGGGGCGGGGGCCGGTGTGCCCTGAGCCGGGGGCCAGGGGAGTGGCCTGAATCTCTAGGGAGAGATGAAGCAGCTCTCCGGGTGGCGGACCTGTGCTCCTCCCAGGTGGCTCTGGAAACTTGATGGAAGGGGCTTCCGGGCCTGGAGGCCTGGCTTAACGCTGGAGGGGCCGTGAGGGATTCTGGGTAATGGCGGACACCAGCAGTCCGCAGGGGAGAATGGGCCCTGAGCCCGCTGTCCCCTCGGTCCCTCCAGGCCCTGCCCTGAACTAACCCCCCCCCCGTGTCCCGCTGTGAGCGCCCCCCTTCCCCGTCCTGACCCCCACGGGCTATGTGGGTCTGGGCACGCAGCTCCCCATCCTGTGGCCCACCCTGCAGTCCCCAGGCTGTGCTGCCGCCCCTGGGGACATTCCCACATGACGGTGGCCCGGCTGGCACAGCGAGGCTGGAGTTATGGGGAGGAGGGGGCTGCGCGCTCGAGGCCTTCATTTCCTGGAGCTTAAGACTTTCCTGTGCAGCTGCGGGAACTGTTCCCCCGGCTCCAACAGTCAGTTCCAGGGCAGTTCCGGGGCTCTCATTGCCCCGCAGGGATGCAGAGGGAGGCCCTGAAGGAGGGGGACCTCGAGGGCGGCCGGGGCTGTCCCCCGGGGGGACAGGCTCCGGGAGATGCCCAGGGTTCTCCCTCCCCCAAGTCTTGGCTTATAATACCTTTTGCAAAGGGGGGGCGGGGACTGGTGCTCGATCATTCATTCATTCATCAAACGCCAGTGTCCACTGCAAGCAGGGGTCAGAAACGCACTGGGCCACTCCCTCAGGCGTTCAGCAGACTGTTAAAATCGTCCTTCTGCCTGCCACAGCGAGGTCCAGCCAGTCATTAGAAGACGGCACAGCTTTTCTGGCTCTGCGCTTACTCTTCCCACAAATATTTACCAAGCTGCCCTGATGCTGGCCCTGTGCTGGGCCCTGGGGACGTGGCGATAAACAGAGCCCGGGCCCCTGTGGAGCTGGCCTTCTGGGGCGGGGGTGGGGGACAGACCACGGCGGGGCAAATCTGCAACATGGTGTCAGGGCGTGGTGGGCACCAGGAGAAGACCACGGCAGGATGGTGGAAGGGGTGAGTGTCGCCGTGGACAGGCCCCGGGGAGGGGTCCTCCGAGCAGGGGCATTTGGTGGAATGGAAGAAGGAGGAGAGACTGGGTACCAAATGCTTCCCCACAGGGGAACAGCATGGAGACGGGTCCAGAGGTGGGGCCTTGCAGTCCAGGCCCCGGGAGGACAGGCAGAGGGTGACCTGGGGAAGGGCCGCCTGGGGCAAGGCCTGGGTGCGGTCCCCACTCCAGAGGGGAAGGTGGAGCGGGGCTGTCCCAAGTTGCACAGCCCCCAGCGAAGGAGCGCAGCCTCGAACCCAGGACTGCCCCGGGCTTGGGCACCTGTGGGGGATAGGCCAAGGTGCCCTGGGGTGGATGCAGCCCACTGCTGGGGCCCACTTAGCAGGTGGGGCGCCCCCTGCCGGGCTCAATCAGCACCCTCCTGTGGGGGCGGCCCACCCACATGTCCTCACCTCTCCTGCCACCGGGGCCTTTGTACCTCAGCCGCCAGGTCCTCCCTCGGGCCTGTTGGCCAGGTGCCCTGGCTGCCTGCCAGCTCTCGGCCACTCTGGGCAGCCGCCAGCCTGCCGCAGACTCTGGGCCTCCTTCTCCCCCGCCCCCTGTTTCAGCTGCTCTTCCTGGTAGGTGACAACTACAGGACCCTGTCCTGGCATCCCGTCTGCCTGGGGGTGGCTTGGAGCCCTGGGGCTGTGTCCAGCTCTCCTGAGACCCTCTGTGAGATGTGGTGCCTGTGGGTGGCCTTCCCGGGCACAGGTCTCAACCCTCAGCCTCACCCCACGGTTCACCTGCTCAGCCGTCCCAGGTGCGGGCAAGCCTGTGTCTGCCGTCACACATGTCACCACGCACCGCGTCCCCTGCTCATCCATCCGCTCCGCCACCCTGCATGAGTCCCCACTCTGTGTTGTTCCAGTGAAAATCAATGGCTGGACGCCTTGTCCCGCGAGGCAGGGGACTGGACACTGAGCCCGGTTGGAACATGGGGGGTTGGAGGTTGGCGGCCGCCTGTGGGGTGTTGGGAGGTGGGGTTCGTAAGAACCCGGGAGGCCGTGGCGAGGAATTCAGCAGCTCCCCAGGGCTGGGTTGTGACTTCCGGGGCCAGGTTACAGGCTGCCCACCTGCTTGCCCTCCCGCTGTCTTCCACGGACTGATGCCCTCACCAAGGACCATGCCCTGTCCTTGAACTTGCCAGCCCCCAGGATTGTGAGCCAAAATAAACTTCTTTATACATGACCCAGCCCCAGGAATCCCGTTACAGCACCAGAAAACCAACCGAGACAAAGTCAGGGGTGGTAAGTGCTTCACAGAGAAGCAAGCAGGGGAGGGGGCGGTAGGATTTTCTAGCTACCTGTCATCCGTCTGTCACTGAAGTGATCATTCATACAGGCTGCTCAGGGAAGGGCTTTGCTATCAAGATGACGTTTGAACAGAGATCTGAAGTGAGGGCCGGAGCCGGCAGCTGTGCATTAGCAGCATTCCAGACAGAGGGACAGCAAATGCAAAGGCCCTGAGGTCAGTGCACATTGGGGGTGAGGGCGGGCAATCAAGGGATTCTGTGGTGCCGAAGTGGGGCGGGGGTGTGTGTAGAAGAAAATGTGGTCAGAGACGCGTGGAGGTGGCTTGACCTGAAGGTCTCTTTCCTGTGGATTGGATTTGTGCACAGGCACCACTCGAGCTGATGGGCTGTGGTGAAAGTGGAGGCGGCTGGGGATTCAGTGGACGACCAGGTGGGTGTCATGGTGGCATGCAGCAGTGGGGCTCAGGTGGCCCCGATATGCTGGTGGGTCAGAGGCGTGCGGGGGAAAGAGCTGGGTCAGGGCCCCACGCTGCCCCTCAGTCTCCTGGTGGACGCTGACATCCAACGCCTGGTCGCCACGGGGAGGGGGCACTGCGCCTGGGCCCTGGGTCGGGAGCTGGGGGAGGTCGGCCCGGGGGGACTGAGGTTGGGAGGGTGAGGAGGGGGGGAGGCCTGGGGCGGACTGAGGGGAGCAGGACGGGCAGAGGAGGAGCGGGAGGCCAGCAGGGCACAGCCGGTGGGCGCGGCAGGGGACCCTCCCCTGGAACCGCCTGGCTCAGCTCCATGGCCTGAGTGTCCCGGGGAGAAGATGGACTTCATGGTCATCTCCTGATAGGTCACTTTGACTTGACCCCTGGAGTGAGCAACGCCGAGGTTGCCACTGACCTTGAGCAAAGGCGCCTGGTGGGGGCCAGGCGTGGGCTGGGCTGGAGGAGCTCCGGACCCTGGGAGGGGGCAGGAGGGAGGGACAGGATGGCGATGGCCGGATTGTGGCAGTGCACTTGCCTGTTCACCCTCCCCGCCCGGCAAGGACGCTCTCGACCAAGGCTCGGGAGGGGATTGTGTCAAGAAATGCCACCAGAGCGCTCGTCACACGAGATGGCCACGCCTGCCCCTCCCCACCTCCTCTCCTGAGCCCGCCCAGCCTGGAGCCCGAGTGTCTCCATGGTGGGGGAGGACGGGGCAGCTCCCAGGCCGGGGCTGCCCACCTGCCCCAGCTCCTGGTGGCCCTCTCGGACCCCTGCGCTGGGCCCCCTGAAGGCTGTGTCGCTGTGTTGGGCCCACGGGTTGCGGGGGGCAGGGGACAGAGGAACAGCCCGCCAGCGCGGGCAGCCACCGCCACACCTGCAGAGGCGGCCCACGGGCCCTGCTGGGCCGGAGCTGCCCTTGGTACTGGACACGTGCAGCTGGGGGTCCTGTGGTGGGTGGGGTGAAGGCCGGTGGTCTCCAGGGGACTTGGGCCAGCCGCTCTCCACCCCCATGAAGCATTTCCACGGGGAGGCGGTTCCCAGCCCTGGACGGGGCCAGCGGGCCCTGCTCTCCAGTTCTTCCCCTTGTCCAATCCTGTGGGACATTCCCTAGTGAGCCAGACGGGGGCTGAGAGATCAGAATGACGGGTCATCAGGACACAAACCCTGCCCCAAGGTGCTCGCCGTCCAGGGGCCAGCAACACTCACAGCACTTACAGAGCACCTCATGTGTACACTTGCAGCACTTACAGAGCACCTCATGTGTACTGTATACCCATTTAGCTCTCCAGTATCAGATATTGGACATTATTGTGAGCCAAGCCCTGGGAATCAAACACACGTACCCACAGATGCACGCGCGCGTGAACACACACACACACACACACACACGCACACGCACACGTTTTTACATTTTTCAGTATCGGGGATGAAACCCAGGGCCCCACACTTCCTAGGCAAATGGCTTTACTACCGAGCCACACCCTGGTCCTTATTTTAAAAAGCTGTTTGCTTGTTTTTTAATTTTGGGACGGGGTCTCACTGAGTCACCCAGGTCATTCTCAGCCTCCCAGGTCCTGGGGTCCCAGGGGCACAGCCAGGCCTGGCTGCGGACAGCGACCATCTTCCTAAACCCCAGACAAGAAGCAGCTAAAGTGAAGCACGGCACAGGGAAAGCTCGGGTCTATGTGGGCCACGAGGAGGGCCACCATGCAGGGCCACGTGGAGGGCCACCTGGAGGGCCACCATGCAGGGCCATGTGGAGGGCCACCATGCAGGGCCACGTGGAGGGCCACCATGCAGGGCCACCTGGAGGGCCACTGGAGGAGGCGGTGACGCAGCCCATCCCTGAGAGGTGAGGAGGAGTGGACGCGGGCAGCAGGCGAGGTAGGAGTTGGGGGAAGACAGCGTGAGCAGGGAGCCCTGGGACAGGACCCGGGAGCAGTGCCAGTAGAGTGGCGGATTCTACGGCGGTGAAGAGCGGGGGGAGGCACCCACGACGGCGGCCGCAGCAGCCGGCCCATCGCCATCTCCCCTTCTTGCTGCATCCCCATGACTGCCCTCTGCTCGCCCCGTGTCAGCCCCTCCTCTCCAAGCAGTGGTGAGTCTAGAGCAATCAGAGACACTCCTTCTCCTCATCGGTAACTGGCTTAGAAGTATCAGGTGACACAATTCTGGTCACTGATATATAAAGAGATATCTTCCAGGGGAGCTTCTAAGGAAATATTTTTGCTCTTAAAAAAGAGAGGCCTGATGGAGAGACTTGTTGTTTTCTGCATGTGTGAGTAGGTGATGGCTGGAGCAACAGCAGCCATCTGGGGATGATGAAGGGAGACAATCCAAAGGACCAAAGAAATCCATTGAACTGTGACACTGACGGACCACTGGATTGACCGGCCCTGGGTTCAGAATCCAGTTCCGACCTGGACTTCCTCAGACTCTCATCCTCTCTTCCGTGAACTGCTCAGATCTGTCTGGCTGAGCCCTCCGCTGAGGCCCGGGTCAGCTTCTGAATGACACAGACCCAGCTACTCCTTCCCCAGAGCCGGGCACACAGCGGGCCTGGGAGGGACCTGCTGCAGAGGCTCCGGGGCTGCTGGGGCACGAGTGTCCACCTGGCGGAGCGGCTCTCGCTGTTCTGGTTTCTGTGGCTCATCTCAGCTCCGGCATCACGGGGCCACACCACGCGGTGTCCTCTGGGGCCCGGGGCGTCCTGCGCGTCCTTTCTTGATGAGTTAATGCCCTGGCACCATCGCGGCCAAGGTCCACTGCCAGCTCACGCTCCTGGCTGCCCTCTGTCATCTGGCTGTGTCCCCGGGGACAGAGCAAGGGCTTCTCACCTGCCAAGACCCAGGGGAGGGGCCGGTGACCTCCAGACAGGACAGCGGTCACCTTCGCGGCGCAGCCCGGGCTCCTCACTCCTGCCTCCTCCCAGGGTCCCCGACCCGCAGCCGCCTCCTCAGGGCGGAATTCAACATCCAGGGGCCCCGAGACCTCAGGGCCGGCTTGGGCCCCAGTCCTGTTACTGTACCGTAACCCGCCAGGTCCCCTGCATCCCAGGCCTCAGTTTCCTCATCTGAGAAACGGGGACACCGCTACCCACCCCCCGCCCCGGGCCAAGGTGAGGAGTCCTGCAGGCGGTGCGTGTGAAGGGACCAGAGTCCACGTGGAGGGCCACGAGGAGGGTCACCATGTCGCGAGTGTGCGACACCGACGGTCAGCCAGTGTGGGCTGGGCCGTGGCTCGCCTGGCGTGTGCGAGGCCGCGGGTTCGACCCTCGGCACCACATAAAATAAATAAATCAAAATAAAAGTATCGTGTCCACCTGCAGCTAAAACGTAGACGTGAAAACAGCATCCGCTGTGTGGTCATCTCTGGCCACTTGACAAGTGCTGCTGGACCCCTGTCGTATGCAGAGCCTCTGGCTGGGCCAAGGCGCGGAGACGTCGGTCCCCAGCCGAGCATTTGTCAGCCGTGGATACTGGGCAAGGGCCAAGCGGGCCTCTAGGGCACCGCGCCAAGGGAGTGGAGGCCCTGGGGAGGGCAGCGGGCTCCCGCGTGGGCGCCAGCCTGGGCCCCGGGAGCAGGGCGAGCAGCGGAAGAGGCGGGTTGCTCGCTGCCTCCCTCTGTCCCCCTCTGTCCTCCGTCCAGGCTTGGCTCCTGGGCCTGCCCTTGAGTGGTGCCTGGCATCTGGCTCCTGTCTGTCCGTCCCCGTCCCAGGGCACTGAGCCCACTGAACCCCGAGCCCGGAGCCCTCTGTGCTTGGCGGCTGCCCACTCCCTGGGGGTCACTCCACCAGCTCATGCGCCCCTGGGGGCCAGGCGCCTGGTCTCCGCTGGCCTCGCCCCTCCCTGGCCCTGCCCAGGTGGAAAGCCCCGCGGAGCCTCAAAGAAGGGGCCAGATCTGCCCTGCGGCCAGCGGCCTGGACACTCGCGTTTTCTTTGCTGACCTCGCGTGTGGGGTGCTGTGCTCGGTACCCCGGCCCCGGAAGAACCCCTGCACACAGTAGGCGCTCAGTGGGAGTGGAGTGGGCAGCACGCGGGCTGCTCTGTGGGGTGGGCCGTGGGCTGTGCTGGGGGCCCGTGGGGTGCGCGCGGGACCCAGGGTGGCACCTCTCAGGTGTGTGTCGTGGGCTGGGACACGCCGCGCTTCCCGCTTGGTGGCCAGGGACAAGCCCCGGGGAAGGTGGGCGGCTGGGGACGGGTGGTCAGAGCCGGGTCCCCCGCCCTCAGGAACAGTCGCCGCATCTGCAAAGGCCGCCGGGTGTCCACTGGCCGCAGGCTGCGCGGAGCCGGCTCCGGGCACCTCCAGAGGCCCCGGCTGGGAGGCCTGGGCCCTCCCGAGCCTTCCCCGGGGACCGGGCAGCCCGACGTCCCACTGAGAGTCCCAAGGGCCCCAGGCTGCTGTCCAGCACCGTGGCCTTCTGGACGGGCACTGCTGCTGCCCTCACGCTCCAGAGGAGAGCGGACGGGCTGGCCCCAGTCACGCCCTGGGAGTGTGTGGAGCCTGGACAGCTGACCTGCGGCCCCCAGCCCTGGGCCTGCAGGACCCGACCCACCCCACGCCAGCGTCCCACCACGTCTGGTGGAGCCACCTCCCGGGACGGGGACGCAGGGACGTGGAGCCACTGCTGCTGAGGGCTTGGCGGCTCCTCCCCCACTGGAATGCCCTTGTCCCTGCTGCCCCAGGGCCACACTGACCCCTTCAGGGCCAGCCCACAGCCCCTGTCCGCCTCCCGCTGCCCCCAC